CTCCCGGAGCCCCGGGCGCCTCCCGCCCGCGCAGGACGTGGCGGACTCACTCCGAGTGGGGCTGGGTGGGCCTTGAACGCTGCCCTTCCAGTCTCCGAAGCCCGGATCCTCTGCTCTCTCTCTCCCCACAGCCCTTCGGTTTTCCTTACCTTCTCATGCCCTAGCCTAGGATCTCCACTGGACGCCAGGTCTGGGGCAACTTCCAAACGTAGGAAATAAATAAGGGGGGCCCTCCAAACACCTCGGAGGGCCCCTGGCCACCTCCCCCCAGCTGGCTGAGTGCCTCACTTTACCAGACACCTGGGGTTCGCTCCGCCTCCATAGCTCCGGGTGCCTCCAGGGCACGTGCCCTCCCTGCCTCGCTGGTGTTTGTTTCCAGCCAGGAGTGCTCGGTCCGGAGCAGAACCCCAGAGCAGGTCAGGGGAAGCCACAGGGCCCTTTGGGGTTCCCGTTTCCCCCTCTTCCTGAGATCCCAGCGGGGGGATAGGAATAAGCCCAGGACCCAAAGACGAAGGGTCTTCGGCATTGTCACAGGTTCATGGCAGGAAGTTCTTAGCGAATTGTTTGTGGTGGGAGGAGCCTCGGGAGCACCCCCAGCCACCCCACCGAGGCCCCTCCAGCTCTGGCGCTGCACTGCGCTCGGTCAAAATGAGTCTCAACTTCCAACTTGGTTTTGGCTACAAGGAGGGTAACAGAGCGGGGACATGGAGAGCGACCAAGCCTTAATGACTTCATTGGAAACCTTGGATCCAGCCATGCCCAGAGCCAGATCTGCTTCCTGCACTTCTTGGTTATGTAAGCAAGCTAATAAATTCCTTTTTTTGCTTAGTCAGTCAGTCCAAGTTAGACTTTCTATCTCTTGCAACTCTTGAGTTCTGATCTCCTAGTAATGGCTTCTGTTTTTAAGTCTTTTGGTGATTATCACTTTGTCAGTAATACTTATATTACTTAGCGTGAGAGGATTTTGCGTATGTACCAGTAGCAACCCTATGAAGACCTCCCTCTGCACACCCCCTCTGATAACTCTCAGCTATAGGTGAGGAACTTTATTTTATTTATTTTTTCTTTTATTAATCCTCACCTGAGGATATTTTTCCATTGATTTTTAGAGAGAGTGGAAGGGCAGGGGAGAGACAGAGAGTTACATTGATGTGAGAGAGACACCAGATTGGTTGCCTCCCACAGGAGCCCTGACCAGGGCCTGCAACCGAGGCATGTGCCCTTGACTGGGATCAAACCCGGGACCCTTCAGTCCATGGGCTGATACTCTAACCATTGAGCAATCTGGCCAGGGCTGGGTGAGGAACGTTAAGTGGACTCTGCTGAGCTCTTGGCAGAGAATTTGAGGACAAATTTCTGGAAAAGAGCCTCAGAGCCAAGAGCAATGCAACAAGTCCCAGAAACAGTCTGCTTTCCAGGAACAATCAATGGCTTTGCTGGCCTCCCCTGCTCTCCAAAAAAACCAGTGGAGGATTGAATTTCTCAGCCCTTGAAGCTGGGAAAGGCAGGCCAGAGGGGCAGAGAGACCTGCTGCAGGAAGCAGGTGAATCTCTGACTGAAAAATGTGTAAAGCGCAAACAAAAAAGATTTCCCTGAACTAGAAAATCAGAACCCCAAATTTCCATAGATAAATCAAAGGAGAGGATGTACTGCTAAAACCCGAAAACGGGTCTAGAAGATTAAAGATGAAACATCTCAAAATGTAACAGGTCTAGAAAATTAAAATGAAGTATTTCAAAAATATGGAGATGCAAATCACGTGGTTAAAGATAGGAGATTGGAACAGACCCAAGAGACTTAACTCAGCTTCTGTGAGTTCCCGCAGAATAAGGAACAGGAGGGGAGAGGTCATCATTAATTAGTAGATTCAATTTCCCTGAGCGAAACAAAGGCTTAAGTTCCAGACTGGACTGACAGGAAAAGACACACACTTGGCCATATGAAGGTTAAAAATCATAAGCTTGTAAGGATATGGGAAAGCTTGGCACATTTTCAGGCAAAAAGAAAGTTCTTTTTTTTACCTGCTACCCTGGAAGTTAAAAGACCAAAAAATTGAATGTGAGTTAATGAAAGAAAAGGCCTGTAACCCAGACCCAGCCAAAGAAGAAAGATAGATATTAAAGATTTTCAAAAGTCACCAAGTATCTCATCTAAGACATACTTATTATTATTATTACTTTTTAATCCTCACCCAAGGATATTATTCCATTGATTTTTTTAGAGAGAGTGGAAGAGAGAAAAGGAGTTTGGGGAGAGAAAGAGAGAGAGAGAAAGAAACATTGATGTGTGAGAGGCAGTGCACTGACTAGAGATCAAACCCATCATTATATCAAAAGCTTAAAAACTATGTTTGCTGTGAATTATTTCTAAAATTGGGTATAAATGTGTTTATCTAAAATTTTATAATTTTTTTTTCATCTAAAATATTATACCATACATTTTTTTTCAGCAAGACTTATCTTTTTAGGACTTTCTTTTCTTTTATAACTATTCTCCACTAATGACTCTTAAGTTTGTTTGTTTTTTAATCCTCACCCAGAGAATATTTTTCTATTGATTTTAGAAAGAGTGGAAGAGAGAGAGAGAAAGACAGAGAGAAATATTGATGTGAGAGAAACACATCAAGATTGGTTGCCCTGCAATGCGCTGACCAGGGCCCAGGCCTGGGAGGAGCCTGCAACCCAGGGACAGTACCTGCCCTTGACCTGAATCAAACCTGGGAACCCAGCACCATTCAGTCCGCAGGCCTATGCTCTATTCACTGACCCAAACCAGCTAGGGCTTTCCATTGACTTTTAGAGAGAGTAAAAGGGAGGGGTAAAGACAGAGAGAAACACTGATGTGAGAGTGCCAAACGGGCTAGGCTGAGAAATACTTCTTAAAAATATGTATATTTTATTGATTTTTTACAGAGAGGAAGGGAGAGAGAGAGTTAGAAACATCAATGAGAGAGACACACCGATCGGCTGCCTCCTGCACATCTCCTACTGGGGATGTGCCCACAACCAAGGTACATGCCCTTGACCAGAATCGAACCTGGAACCTTTCAGTCCACAGGCCGACGCTCTATCTACTGAGCCAAACCGGTTTTGGCTGATAAATGCTTCTAAGACATTAATGGGCCCTGGCTGGGCGGCCAGTTGGTTGGAACATCGTCCTGTACACCATAAGGTTGTGGGTTTGATTCCCGGTGATGTCATATACTTGGATTACAAATTCAATCTCTGGTCAGGGTGTGTAGGAGAGGCAACCGATCAATGTTTCTCTCTCTCTCTCTCTCTCTCTCTCTCTCTTTTTTTCTCTCTCTCTCAAATCAATAAAAACATATCCTCAAGTGAGGATTTGAAAATAAGAAATAGTTAATGAAGCAACAAGTGAATCAGAACAGAGACTTGAACATAGGGGAAGATGAAGAGGAAAAAAGCAGTGAGGAGCACTGAACCATGAACTATAATTTCTATCTATAGCCCTACATATTTATAACATGTAATCTAAATGCTAAATAAGGACTCTTGGAACAGATGGGACACACTGTAAGGGAAATTCTAATAAGTATTAAATTATCTCAACGAAACTGGAATCCGCTGGTGAGTAGAAGGGGAAGGTAAGTGTTCCAAGACCTCAGGTAGGGAGGATGAGCAAAGATGGGGGAAGGGTAGTGAAAGTAATTTAAGACCATATATATTAGGGTGGGGAGGAAGTAGAAGATAAATAGAGCATGATGGAAATAGTTGTTGTTCTGTGAAATAGTACAGTTCACATACTAGAAGAGTCATGTGTCCAAGAGAACAGGGCGAAGGATGGTAACTATTAATAGACGACAGACTACAAATTAACAAGGAGGGGAATGGGATGAATGGCTACTCATTCAACCCAGCAAAAGAAAAGAAGAGTTCACAGCAGTGTTTAGAAATTTAAAACCAACTAAGATGGAAATAACAAATCAAATACATCACTCATTACAATAAATATGTGTGGGCTGAATTCTTCCATTTCCATTAAGATATTGTCAGATTTTGTTATAAATCAAATTCTGGTCCATATTACTTAAAAGAAAGATACTTAAAAAGTGATAAAGTGATAAAGAAATATGCAAAAATAAAGATGCGGTAAAGATATACCAGGCAGAAAACAGTGATAATACTGATATCCAACCAGGGCAATAAGTGACAGGTGAAAAGTGGTGTGAGGATTGCCTACAGAGAAGTAGGCAGGGCCCTAGTCAGTTTGGCTCAGTGGATAGAGTGTCAGCCTGCGGACTGAAGGGTCCCAGGTTCAATGCTGTCAAGGGCATGTACCTTGGTTGCAGTCACATCCCCAGTGTGTGTGTGTGTGTGTGTGTGTGTGCGCGCGTAGGAGGCAGCGGATCGATGTTTCTAACTCTCTATCCCTCTCCCTTCCTCTCTGTAAAAAATCAATAATATATATATATTTTTTTTAAAAGTAGGCAGGAACCTCAGGAGTGGTGGCCATTTTTTGTGTCTTGATTGAGGTGGTGGTTAATGATGGAACATCTTTGTCAAACTCATGGGATTGTACACTTAAAATTGATCAAATGTATTGGATGTAAGTGACCATATATTAAAGCTGGTTTTAAAAAATAACAAAATTGAGCCGAAACCGGTTTGGCTCGGTGGATAGAGCATCGGCCTGCGGACTGAAAGGTACCGGGTTCGATTCCGGTCAAGGGCATGTACCTGGGTTGCGGGCACATCCCCAGTGGGAGATGTGCAGGAGACAGCTGATTGATGGTTCTCTCTCATCGATGTTTCTGACTATCTCTCTCCCTTTCTCTCTGTGAAAAATCAATAAAATATATTAAAAAAAATAACAAAATTGAAATGCTGAATGAAAAAGCAGTGTAATATTAGAAACCTTCTCAATTACTCTGTATTATATATCTCTGGAATGCCATAAAGATAGCAAGCTTAAAAAAAAAAAAGAGGAAAAATAGAGGTAGTACTTATTTCAATAAATTTTAAAAAGAACAAGAAACAAAAAATAATCAGGATATAATAAAAACTGAAATGAATGAAATGGAACACAAATGAAAGTATTAAAGAGCATAAGTTAAAAAATGTCCTTGCCCAGCCAGTGTGGTTCAGTGGTTGAGCACCGACCCATATACCAGGAGATCACTGGTTCGATTCCTGGTCAGGGCACATGCCCAGTTTCAACTTTGATCCCCAGTAGGTCTGAAGGAGGTAGCCAATCAATGTTTCTATCTCTCCCTCCCTCCCCCCCCTTTCTTCTCTCTCAAAAATCAATGAAAACATATTTTTTTTTTCCAACTGTCAGAGCTTTTATTTCTAACTTACAAATTTCACATTTTTACAACAGCAGGCTATGAGACAACATACACAATCCTATCCTATTCATTTAACAACAAAATTTGAGAAGATACAAAGACCAACAAGTCAACATTTCATACAATGTCTGCATATCTGCAGTCAGCACACATTGTGAAGCTATGGAGCTCAATGTTCACTACACCTGTCAGGCCCGGGATTCAATGCTTCACAAGAATTTTATCATTTAATCCTCTCGGCAACCTGACATGGATTACCCATCTATTTCCTGGGGAGGAAACCAGGCTCAGAGACTCAATGTGAACTGCCTGATTGTAGAGGCAATAAAAGGCAGGGCTGGAAGAAAAACCTTCAGGGCTCAGTACAGTGCGCACCTGCCAGTGACCTCATTACCTAGAGGATCCTCCTTCCAGCCCCTCCTACTGGCCTCTTCCTTCTAGTTTGTTCTTCCTCTGGACAGTTTTGGGAAAATGTCAGAACTCTGCCTCACACAATGTCCATTTACTGATCATGGCAAACGATGACCCTGGCTTCCTGAGAATGAAAGTAAAACTCCTCACACACAGCCTTGCCTCTTGCTGGCGCCTTTAGACACAAAACATGCCTGTGTTTGCTGAACCCTCCAGGCTCAGCCACACCACCATGTCCTCACACAGCGGCATTGCGGCCCACCGCCCCTTCCCCAGTTTGAGTTCTCTGATGACTCTTGAGATTACCATTTTGACTGAATGACTTCCCACAATCACTACACTGATATGGCTTTTCTCCAGTGTGAATTCTCTTATGGTTAAGGAGATGGTGACTGGACACACATGATTGCCCACATTCACTACACTCATAAAGCTTTGCACCACTGTGCACTCTCTGGTGCCTTTTGAGGTGACACTTTTCCCTGAATGACTTCCCACAATCACCACACACATAGGGCTTTTCACCAGTGTGCACTCTCTGGTGATTGTTAAGGGTATACTTATTACTGAATGACTTCCCACAATCACCACACACGTAGCGCTTTTCTCCAGTGTGCACTCTCTGGTGACTGTTGAGGCTACACTTTCCACTGAATGACTTCCCACAATCACCACACACGTAGCGCTTTTCACCAGTGTGCACTCTCTGGTGACTGTTGAGGCCACTCTTATGACTGAATGTCTCCCCACAATCACAACACACATAGGGCTTTTCACCAGTGTGTACTCTCTGGTGACTGTTGAGGCCGCCCTTTTGACTGAATGACTGCCCACAATCACCACACACATAGGGCTTTTCACCAGTGTGCACTCTCTGGGGAATGTTGAGCCTACACTTTTCACTGAATGACTTCCCACAATCACCACACACGTAGCGCTTTTCTCCAGTGTGCACTCTCTGGTGACTGTTGAGGTCACCCTTTTGCCTGAATGACTTCCCACAATCCCCACACACGTAGGGCTTTTCACCGGTGTGAATTCTCTCATGATTGTTGAGTGCACAGTTATACCTGAATGACTTCCCTCAATCACCACACACATAGGGCTTTTCACCAGTGTGCACTCTCTGGGGAATGTTGAGCCTACACTTTTCACTGAATGACTTCCCACAATCACCACACACGTAGCGCTTTTCACCAGTGTGCACTCTCTGGTGACTGTTGAGGTCACCCTTTTGCCTGAATGACTTCCCACAATCACCACACACATAGGGCTTTTCACCAGTGTGAATTCTCTCATGATTGTTGAGTGCACAGTTATAACTGAATGACTTCCCACAATCACCACACACATAGGGCTTTTCACAAGTGTGCACTCTTCCGTGAGTGATGAGGCCACCCTTTTGCCTGAATGACTTCCCACAATCCCCACACACATAGGGCTTTTCACCGGTGTGAATTCTCTCATGATTGTTGAGTGCACAGTTATACCTGAATGACTTCCCACAATCACCACACACATAGGGCTTTTCACCAGTGTGAGTTCTTTGATGAACGCTGAGGCCACACTTATGCCTGAATGACTTCCCACAATTACCACACACATAGGGCTTTTCACCACTGTGAACTCTCTTGTGTTGATTTAGGTTGGAGCATCGCCTGAAGAACTTCCCACAATCAGTGCACTCACAGGGCTTTTCTCCAGTGCGAACACTTGTACGTTGATTGAGGTTTAATGTACGTGTAGAAACTTTCCCACTTTTGTTACTCTCATTATTGACTTCTTCAGAGCAGATACACTGATGTTGAATGACTTTCCCGCTGTTGCTGTCAGTTTTTTCATGTCCACACCAATTGTGATGACTTTTTCCACCAACAAACTCCTGTGAAATTTCACTTTCACTGTGTGGCTCCCCAGTGTTGAGAGGGGCCTGCTGCTGGAGGAGCCCTGCGATGCCTGTGGAGACTTTCCCAACCTTTGTATTGGTTGAAGGCACCGAAGATTGGAAGCTGCACCTGGTCACAAACGAGGCCCTGTCCACAGTTTCTTTCCAGAGCTTCTCTCCACTGGCTTCCCCCGGCTGCTGGGGATGGTTTGCAGTGAAACAGAAGTCCCTCACAGATGCGTCACTGAAGAAGGCTTTGTGCTCAATGTCCGAAAACATATTTTTTAAAAAGTGTTCTTATAGGTTAATAAAATTAACTTCTTGCAAGCCCAAGTAGGGGGGAAAAGAGTAAAAACAGATAAGATTAGTTATGAGAACGAAAACATCATTACAGATATGGGAGAGAAAAAAATGATAAAGAAGTTAAACTTAAAGTTTCTCATCAACAAATTTGAAAATTTAGAGGAAATGGATACATTTCAGGAAAAATATAAATTACCAAAGTTGACCCAAGAGAAATAGAAAAGCTTGAAGAGTTCAACCTATCATAGAAAAGACTAGAAGATGATTAAAGATATACTTTTTTAAAGACTGCATTCAAATGGCACCACATCTGAGTTTTAGCTAACCTTAAATAATATTTTTCATGCCAGTTAAACTAGTTAAGACTATAGTAAAAGAAGGAAAGGTCCCACTTAATATATGAGCCAGCATAACTTAATACCATTCCCAACAGACACTCTAAGTAAAAAAGAAAAAGAGAAAATTGCTTAAATATAATGAAGACTTTTTACTAAAACCTAACAGTAAATATTGGTAAAGTAAACAAACCAAAATAAATTATTTTTTTTAATATATTTTATTGATTTTTTACAGAGAGGAAGGGAGAGAGATAGAGAGTCAGAAACATCGATGAGAGAGAGACATCGATCAGCTGCCTCCTGCACATCTCCTACTGGGGATGTGCCCACAACCCAGGTACATGCCCTTGACCGGAATCGAACCTGGGACCTTTCAGTTCGCAGGCCGACGCTCTATCCACAGAGCCAAACCAGTTTCGGCAAAATAAATTATTTTTATTTTGCCTATCATCATTATTATTTAACATATCTTGGAAGTTCTACCAAATGCAGTGACAAGAAAATAAATTGTTATGATCATCTGAAAAATTATAACTTTTTTTGCTGATATGATTGTACTATCAGAAAATTCAAAAGACTATAGTAAAAAACTCTAGTTAAAAAAAACCTAGTAAAAAATATAACTTGGAAAGTTGACTGGATACAAGATACATATTACAAACATAAACTGCTCTTTTCCTACTCTAGCAATAAGCATCTCAAATTGAAAATCAGAAAAAATATTCAATTTACAGTTACAGAATTATAAAGTCTTAGGATAATAATTATAGTCACCAAAATGCTATACACTATTGTAAGCACTTTGTATTAATTTAATCATTCCTCACAACACCCTCTTGAGATAGATTACTATTATTATTCTTATTTTATAGAAGAGAACACTGAGGAACAGAGAGATTAAGTGATTTGCTAGCTGGTAATGTGTTAAGAGTTGGGATTTGAATCCTGGCAGTTTGGCATTGAGACTATCCTTGTAATCACTGTGTTACAATATGTAAATTTTTAAAAAATTGGATATAATAGACATGTAACATTATATTAGTTTCAGGTATACAACATAATGATCACCACCATAAGTCTAGGTAACATCCATCACCTCACATAGTTACACATGTTTCCTGTGATGTGAACTTTTAAGATCAACTCTTTTAGCAACTTTCAAATATACAATACAGCATGAGTAACTACAGTCACCATGTTGTACATTACATCCCTAATAACTGTAAGTTTTATATGTGAATTTAATCAAGAAACACATAGCGCTCATGAAGAAAGTTATACAATATTATTCAAAGACCTAAAGCAAGATTGGGACAAACAGGAAATCAACCATTTCCTTGGCTTGGAAGATAACATATTGTGGACGAAAGGGGCCACATGCTGACCTGAAAAGCTCAGGGGAGGCCTGCATGGCAGTTTTGCAGACTCAGAGACCTAAAGTCACCACAAAGGATGGTCTGAAATTAAACTTTAACTAAAGCAGTTATGGTGGGCCGTTACATCTAGGCCAGTATCTTCACTGATAAGGTCAACTGAGCCTATCTGTCTTTTTGCCTGTCTTTTTGCACCTATAATAATGGTAGAGGCCCAGTGC